AAGAGCTAAACCCAAGTTTCACCCCCAAGAAAAAAAAAAAAAAAAAAAAAAAGAAAGAAAAACAAAAAACAAAAACCTTTAAGATAATATGACAAAATGCTAATATCTGTCTTATGAGAATAAGGCTAAGCCCTTTGAAAACACACAGGTTTTCAATAATGAACACCATTATATATGAAATAATTTAACCGCATTAAATAAACTGAACTACAGAAATTAATTACTCTGTAGTAGTTTTAATTGCCTTATAAAATAAAAGAATATGGCAACCGATTTTCCATGTCCCCTCCTGACTCTCTTAGGAGCTGTCTCTCCCTCAGTAAAATTTTCTACTCTAAATAAATAAATAAGAACAACTGGGAGTACTAAGTAAAGAATCATTGAAAGTTTTTTTCATAAGGGTGTAAAAGCAAATATAAAATTTTATTCCAAAGTGAAAAGGTAATGTCTTCCTTTAAAATGGATCTAGGTAGTAAATGAAAAATCTCCTAATTCAGTGAAAACAATGCATATTTGAAATTAACAGTATTTCATCTGAAAAAGTCTACTAATTTTATGGGTCATTAAAAGCCCTGTGGAGACTGGATAAAGATGTAGTTATTCTATAAAATGGAGTATTAGTCATCCATAAAGAACAAAAAACTAGAGACATTTATAGTTAAATGGATGCATATTGAGGTCATACTCAAGTGAAATAAAGAGGGGACACATGTAAATACTGAATAGTTTTTCTGGTGTGAAAAACTAAATGTGTACATAAGATTCGAATTGTAAAATTGATAATGTGAATAGGAAGAAAAGGGCTAAAGGATTAGGGGAAGCGGGAAGGGTAGGAGAAAGGAAAGAAGTGAGAAATATGAGAAAAGGAAAAAATGGAAACAAAGGAAAATAGTAAATAGGGAAGGGAGGAGGGGGTGAAGTGAGAGCAGTTGGTATGCAGAAAAAATGAGAACCAAGATCTGTCATGTAAAGGTACAAGATCCCAATGATGAATGTAATTGTACTGTATACCTAAAATGTACCAATAAACTTAAAAAATAAAAATAAAAGCACTAAATACACTAACAAGAGTCTTTATTTTGCACTGCAGAGTGATCCATCCTCTGAGCTGTGTGGCACCTGCAGCTGGACTGTGCATCTGAGTCCACCAAACTCCTTACTCAGAGACCTCACTGGCTGCAATTGACACAGCACAAAACTAATCCTCCAACCCTTGAATACAGATCCACTTACCTACTGGGATATGTAAAATGGTTTGGTGCACCTGAAAAGGCTCAGCATAATTGTAGATTAGTTCTACTCTCATTTGGCCTCTAACTTCAGCATCTGAAGAAAGGTGATAATGCAGGGAACTCCAATATTGATTATGCCTAATGCAGGCTGTAAAGAGTGAACCCCCCTCAATTGGCTCATTTTGAGAAATGAGTCAGGCCAAAGCCTACATGCTAAGGCCAGAGTAACTCCTATTCAACTTCCATTCCTAAAATTAAAACCTTCTTAGCTAGAAGGACAAGGCTCTAATTACAACCCTATATTTTATCTCTTCTATTCCTACTTCAAGAATGCTTTGTCTTGTCCTTTTTCAAGCCTTGCTTCCATTAGTGCCCATAGTAACTGAACAATTGCATGTCCTCACATGCAGTTTCCCTTTAGCACATAGTTATCCTTTACCCCAATTGATTTCCAATAAAAAATCAGTGGCTTAGATTGACCAGTGTCTTTGCTGGTTGCTCCAGCATTGGTCATCCCGGATCCCTGGTTTCTTTGTCTCTTTAGTTCTGGCTTTTAATGTTTCTTCTTAGTCTTCTGCTGTATCACTGAGCAGGAGATTAGAATCTACTGTAGAGGTCTCAGATCCAATAAGATTGCACAGGGGCACACCAAACTTTGCAGGCCCCAATGGAACATTTCACCTCTCTCCTAGCTTTATTCTCCACTGGACCATATCCATATGGAGAGAGTCGTGCTCAAAAATTTTTCTCCAATCTCTCTGAGATGTAAATGTGAGGAATGATAGGTCATAATCAAGTAGAAAATGAGGTCATTACTTGGGGACTCTAGTGGTCTAGGTGTCAAACCTGAGAAAATATCTTATCCCTGAATTCAAATGAATTCTGTGTGATACACAGAGAAAGTAAAATGATGTCCAGCTCATCTCAGTAAAATTGCTGAAGAACTGAAAGAAAAAACAGCATAGTAAATGATGCAAAAAGTGATACATTACAGAAGATAAAGTTGATAAGGTAAAATAAAATCAAAATGAAGGCAAGCAGGAAATAATATTTGCAATGTTTGCAAATATTTTTTCATAAATTTAAAGATTTCATGAAAAATTATTTGGCATGATACTACAGTAATATTTTAACAAAGAAGGACAGGGTGTTAAATACCAATGTACACAAATGAAAGATGTATGAATGCACATAAAATGTTTCTAGAGCATACATGTGATAAGTGATTAAAACATGGTTGTGAAGAAAAAAATAATGAAAAGAGTAATATACATGAGAAAATAGCAAAACAAGTCTTTCTGTTTTCTTAACTTTAAAAAACTTTTATTTTATGAAAATAAAACAAAATTTCATATTCAAATAATTACAGAATAACAATAGTTATTACATAGTATATAATTATCTTCAAAGGAGAAAGAGTACAAGTTTCAAAAATATCCTTATAAAAATGAGTCTAGCTTATTACTGCGTCATTCTCATTGTACATCATAGGATTATGCAAGATTTTTAATTTTTCTTTGTTTAATTTTGGTAATTCATGTGCACCTAGGAATTTCTGCATTTCTTCTGAGTTGTCATAATTTTTAAAATTTACATATTCACCATACATTTTGATCATAGCTCATAAAATTATGTGCCTATGGTGATTTCAGTATCTCTATTATCTTGGTTTTGAAAATCGTTTGTTTTCATTCTTTATACTTGGTTCTTTATACTTATATTTGTTTTTTCTTGTTCTTTATACAATGAATTATTTTGAATCACATCTTACAAGTTTGTGTTATCCTTGTATTGCTTGACCTGTCAAAATGTGATAGAGAATGTTTATGTTTTGTTTCAGAAGGCACTCTACACTGTTTAGTTCAGACCACTATTATTTTCAGTCTTCTGCATGTGTTTGTTCAAGCTCAGTTATGTTTATTTGAATCTGGTCCACTGTAATTTGGGTTAACACTGATTTCAGTTTAGGATATACATATACACAAACTCAGGGAACTATTTCTCTAACTATATCCCTAATGGAATTCTCTTATAGACTGAACTGTCAAATATTTTTCTGGTCTTTTTTCAGGTCAAAAGGAGATTGTTTCTATTAGAACTGCTAGATTATTTCATGAGTCTGAAAAAAAATGCATCAGAGAAAAGAAAGCAGAAACTGACATTTATGGAGGAAACATCTCTATATTTTGGCTCCTTTCAAGAATAAAAGAATAGTTACCAATATCATCAATTTCCAAACATACATAAACAAGTAAAGATTTTAAATTATGCTATATTCTGCCTAACACTAATTATAACCATTTTGTATTTATGTTCAATACAGTTTTATAAGAGTTTATAAATTTAGCAGTGGAGCAGATAATGAAACATGTTAACTTTCTGTTATTATATATAGTACTATTTAATTATGCATAGAGAATAAAGATCATAATTATTTTATTTTATGGAATTTTTGGAGTTTTTCCAACCTTGTACAAAAGCGGTGGTTACAATTACTCCGTATAAAGTTACTCACATACTCATGACAATAAGACTCATCATTTATTATTTAATGTTATTAAAGTCATTAAATTGTGCAGGTTGTCTTTTCCTCTTTCAATTTCTTTTTAAATGAGATTATTGAAGTGAAACTGAAATAAAATGTATACGTGAAACCTACAAATGAATATATATGACCAGAAATAGTACACATAAAACTGAATTCTATAACATCCCAATTTTTTCTGAACATTTGTATTGAATTCTTTTTTTCTCTGCTCTATTCTCAATAACCAGTGCTATACATTATGTTCTTTAGAATTTGAAACAAGGTGAGACATGTAGTTCCTATAAGTAAGGTTAAAATTAATAACCTGAGCTTCCTCAGAGAGATATTTTGTTAAATCACCTAGTATATACTTATCAGGAACATATATCAAAGTAAGTATGTTTCAGAAGAAGAACATAGATAAATTTCAAGATCCACAAGAAATTCAAAGATGTTACTCATTTTCAGAGAAATTATCCAACATGAAATAAATAATCATCTACTATCTTTCCCCCACATGAATATGAGACACCTCATCATTCGTCTTTCACTACTGATGAGAACCAAAGGATTGACTGTGGCATAGCCATTGCCAACCAATAACAGAACACAGTGATGAAATGGGTCATTATTCCACAAGATCGAAAAGATGGACCCAATAACACAGTCCAAAGTGTACATAACAATAAAGAAACTCATAAGCAATAAAATTGTCCAGGTAGCCCTTTGTTCTGCAGATGCTCTTGGAGACAGGCTGGTGCTATGAAGATTCTGGGACTGCCTTTTATGCTTGCACAAGAGATTCACCATGTACCCACTGGAGACTGCCATGAGTCCTATAAACAATATGTGCTGGAAAGTCATAAGTGAGAAAAACATGTACTTAAGAAAGGAACTAATGGGCAAAAGTGAACAGGATGTGGTAAGTAACATAACACTGTTTGAAGTCACATTGGGAGTGGCAACAGTGGAGATTAACATGCGACCATTAATGATCATATTGAAAACCCAAAGAAAGAGCAAGTAACACGGGTTCTGAAGCAGGGATTTCCATTTGAACTGGGCCAAATAGGAGCTTCTGGGGCTGAGGGTGATGGCCTGGAGGACACTCAGCAGGCAGGTGGTACAGACGGAGAGGTCCCTCATCAACCTACTCAGATAGATAACAGATGTACATGTGATGTCATCCCACAAATCCTGATATCCAAAAATGTCCATAGCTATGAAAACCATATTTAAGAGCAACATTGTGTGAATAAAGGCCAAATGACCAATGGTCAGATCAGCAGGCTTGGCTCTGCACTCCAGAAGTATTATGAGGACACAAAAGAGAAGCAAGATCAAGTTGGCTATGATCCCAATGCTGACTTCAAAGAAAACCATGTGCTGTATGTGAATGAAACTAGAAAATCTGCTGATTTTTTTCATCTTCATGGGTTACAAGCAAATAGGATATATCTGAAGAGAAAAGTGCAAGAAATTTCTTATCACAAATACTACTTCCTTCATCATTCTCAATGAACAAAATTTGTCTTCATCAAAACATATGGATTCACTCCAGTGTATCATTTTCCCACATATGTACTCAAGGCCACCTCACCCTGGGGTGCCCTCTCTCTCTCTCTCTCTCTCTCTGTTCCAGCACTTCTCTATCATGGCTGGATTATGGGTCTCCCTGGGCTCCCACAGTGAGTCTCCAAATTTTATGGATCTCATAAATCTGCACGATTGAAACACATATTCCAAATATCTTTGTTCTGCATTTGCATGCTATGTAAAGGAAAGTATGACACAAATTCTGTAGCAAGATATAATTTTATAAGGAAATATATACAGGAGAATATAAACACCTCATAAAAGTAATCCCACTTCCCTACTCAGGCTTCATCCAGCTCATATATGCTTGTCCCCTCTCAGTTTAGGAGCACAGGCAATGGGACAGGAAGTTGCTCCGTCAGTGGGATGATCTAAGCTACTATGGCTCTTAGCACTGATGATGTTGTTAAGGAGACCTAACACAGCAAGTACAAAAATCTCATTTTACGTGTGGCAGGAAACAAGCTGCCTCACAGAGACTGGACTTTAATAAGTGAATGAATAAGTCACAAGGAAAGTAACACATAAGAAAGGCCTAAAGGAGCTCTCATGCAGAAGGCCACACTAGGAATGAGGTAGGAAAAACCTAAAGGGCAATACGGGGATAAACTAAGCACACAGGAAGGAATACTAATGGGAAATCTGTACTCTTTTAAACCAGTCTTTTTCAGGAGCTCTTATACCTCACAGTGAATCTTGCCATAACCTCAGTAGAAATATACTACAGGATATATTCTCATTAATACCATGACCCAGGACTCACTCCCTGACATATGGTGTTATTTATGCCATTTCTAAGGTCATGGGAAATCTTGGGGTAGATGTTATGAAATGCCAACCATTAGGAAGAATGCTCAGGTTGATGCCCAGAAGAAATTTGAGATCACTGGCAGACAGTGAGGCCTCTGAAAACCCTGAGAAAATTAGCATGCTTCTGGTCTTGTAATGATCCCATCACAGTGTGATAAAGAAAGGCAAGGACACCCCTTCTATCTCAGCTGTCATATGAAGGTATTCTGCATATTGCTCAGGGGTGAAATAATTTATGCCCAGCACATAATCAGGTACTTTTGATACATAAAAAGGTCACCCAGTAGTTTCTTACTGCTGAACCCAAGAAGTCAACTTCTTATGACTGTCTTCAATGCTATTCTTATTAATAAATGAAAGCCAAAAAGAAAACTTGCCATGGGGTGAGACTCATTGTTCATATAGGAGTCATATAGGTTTGTGTGTGCATTGGACTACAGACTCCAACATTTTACACAATTGGAATTGGAAAAATAAGAAAGGAATAAGGTAGAAAAAACTGACACAGTTAGGTAAAGTCAGTGTCATTGCCAGGTAGATGGTCAGGCCTGAGAACACAGCATTTATGTTCTGAATTGTACCACTTCCAGCAAAACAAAGGAGAAAATTTCAGGACTGTTTGAGTACACCAACAAGAACCATACCACCCTCTGAAAACAGTAAATAATCTCTTTGTTTTACGAATTCAAAAGACTGTAATAAATACATTTGTAAGGAGGGGTCAATTGTTCATGGGTATTTACACTACTGAGAAATTTAAAGGCATTTTCAGCGATATCATGGGCGCTCAATGCTATTGAACAGTACAGAAACAAGAAAACCCAGGAGCATTTTTTCACAACAGACATTTGTCATTCCTCAGAAATACATACAGCTGCAGATGAGAAGATTTTTATGTTCAGCCTAGTAAAGAAATAAAGGCTATTTTATGTCTTGTGAGCCAGTATTTGCTTTCATTTATCCTCATAATCTTTTCAATTTATTATAAAGAAGGGGCAGGATGTAGCTCAGCAGCACCACCCCTGCCTGGCAAGCAAAAGGTCCTGAATTCAATTCCCTGTACCAAAAATAAAACAATTTATTACAAAGAAGTCTGCTTCACATCTACATGCATCAATAAATGATTAAATAATCAGTCAGCATTGGCTGAAAGAATCTAATACCCACATGGAGAGATTAGGGAAGTTGAAAATATTTTGTTCTACATTTTCCCCTCAAGAAATGGCTTATCCATTATTAATGATCAGAGACAGTATTTTTATAGTGAAGATGAAGAAGATAAAAAAAGGCAGAATAGTCTTTTTATTTGCCAAATTCTGGGAGAGTACATACTTTGATAATGTTTAGGAAGGCAAGGATATTGTATGTTGTCATCGTTTTTGCATTCTTTATTTTTAATGTCATTGCAGTATTTCATTGTTTTCTGATATGAGATTTTTCAATAGCTAGAGTCACCTAACTGCAGACACTATTATGTAAAAATTTGTAAAATTAATAGTGGGAGAAGAAATGAGCATATAACAAAATGCTAATATTTATTTTGTGAGAATGAAGTTAAGCTCTCTGAAAAAGATGCTTTAAATTATGAGAAGCAGTAAATATTAAATAATTTAAAACTATTTAAATGGCCAAATACTTTTAAAAATGGCCAAATGCTGATGTTCATTTTCACTTGAAATGTCTTATAAAGATTGTAGAAAAAAAACAGAATATTTCATGAAGGTTCATACATAAAGTTTCTTTTATAAAGAGTGTAAATAAAAATTTTAAAGCTGTATTCTAGGGGGTGAAGAGGGGTGAAAGGAGGGAAAAAATGAGAGCCAAGACCTGTCATGTAAAGGTACAAGATCCCAATAATGAATGTAACTGTACTGTATACCTAAAATGTACCAATAAACTCAATTTAAAAAAAGAGCCATACTCTAAAGTGACAATGTCTTCCCTGAGAATTGATTTAGGTAGTAAGCCAAAGTCACTGAATACAGAGGAAAGAATGCTTGAAATTAATTTAGTATTTCATATGAAAAAGTTCACTGTTTATGAGTAATTAAATTAAAGGAGTAAGTGCACTTATAAAACATTTTCAATTGCACTTCAGGGAGAAACATCCTTTGAGCTGCATGGTGGCTAAAGCTGCAGAAGATATTGCTCACCCAACTACTTCTGCGCCTGAACATAGACCTACTTACCTTCTAGGACATGCGAAAGGGTCCAGCGCACCTGAGAAGAGCAAGAACAGTTTTATGGAATACTTATCATTAGCTCATCTCTCAGCAGGCACGTAACTTTAGTGTCAGTAGAAAGATGACAAAATCCCACGAGGGTTGATGGAACAACGCAATTGCCAGTGGAGCATTTCACCTGTCTCTTGATGTTATTCTATTCTCTCAGGATTATAGCCATTTGGGTTGAGCTTTTCCTTTTCTTTCAGCTCCCTTGGCACTAATATGAAAGTTCAGAAGGGACAAGTCATGTAGTCATCACCAGTTCTCTTATTTTGACCCTAAATTCCAATTAGTCTTAATCTGATGCTTATTGTATAATGACTGGGCTCTAGGGTGAGAGATTCCTGGAATCACCTGTGAGCTCCCAGAAGTTCTTAAGGTCATCTCCGAACCATGTGCATGGGCACCTTCTTTAGTTTATTCTCAAATGGATCCTGTGGATCCAGGAATTACTGGTCACATAGCCTATGATTTCCAAGTTTTTGAATTCATATTTCAACCAATGTGATAAATTTAACTGTTTATTTAAAAAGAAATAACATGACAGTTAGAAAAATAGAAGCAGAGCAGATGAATGATGGTTGAGGTAATCAATCACAGGCAGACTGAACATAATTGAAGCTGAGGCACAGCCTGAGTTGGTCCATTCTAGAAAGAAGCTGGATGATCTGCCCCTATTCTCAGTAAGAGATAGGAAGAGGCTATTACTTTCTCTGAAAAACACTATATGCAAATTTTCTTCATTCACAATATACTGTGCCCAAACTATAGACAGAATGGTGAGACATGGGACAAAATGAGACCTTTTCACTTCAAATGCTAAGAATCCAAAGAAAATACAGTCTTTTTTCGAGACTCACTGATGTCTCAAGTACCAGAATCAGAAGATAGTAGTTTAAAACAACTAAAATTGCTATGCATTTCTAAATGTCAGTAATCTTATTAGAATCTTATGCATTGTTGCAGATTATTCACACCAGGGAAACTATTTGGTATTTACACATGTGTGACTTATTTATTTCACTTAGGAGTATATCTTCAATATGTATCCATTTTCCTATGAATGAATCTATTTTCTCGTTCTTTATGGCTGAGTAATATTCCATTTTATGGAAAAACCACAACTTCTTTATCCAGTTTCCAACGGATGGGCAAATAGGCTGTTTCCAAGATTTAGCTATTACAAACTGTGCTGCTATAAACATGGGTGCACATACTTCTCTGTGGGAAGAAAGGAGCTAAAGGTGTAGGGAAGGTGTGATGGGTAGGGGAAGAACAAAAAGGGAAAAAAGAAAAAAATGTGAGAGAATGAAAAGATGAAAATAAAGTGTTTGTAGATGGGGAGGGGAGGAGGGGGTGAAGGGAGGGCAGAGGTAAGGGGAAAAAATGAGAATCAAGACTTGCCATGTAGAGGTACATGATCCCAACAATGAATGTAACTGTACTGTATCCCTAAAATGTACCAATAAACTCAATAAAATTTTAAAAAATCACTATGAAAATACAGATGCAATAGATGACAAATGGAAAGTTCTGAGTAGTTTATTCAAAACAGAAGAATTAAATCGTGCAATATCAACTATATAAAATTCCTCATGGATATGCCTAAACCATTTCAGACATTACACAAAAAGTCCTTAAGGAGGTATATTTAAAATCATGCAGTACATGCAAAAAAGTATTGAAAATAAAATGCATGCACCTAGATTATGAAGCACAGTAACATATCAGCAATGAGAGTACAAGAAAGACAATGTAGAAAATCTTCAGAGAAATAAGTGACCCAACTTACGAAGTGTGAGA